GATGCGTGAGAATAGTTAATAATCTGGAACTGTGGATTCTATTGCGTACATAGTTGTGTGGATCTACTGGGTCCCTAATTTAGTATCTCTCAATGTTATTTTAAGATTCAGACCTTTTCAATCCACATTCCATGTGGAAGAGAGAATAGAGGAAGAGTAAAAAAAAATTGAAGGAAAGGAATGTGAGCACCCTGATGGACCCTCCCTCCATGTACTAAATGGTGTAGTGGAACTACGCCTTGTGATGAAAGTATAAAATTACCAAGGTAAAGACGTGTCTCCATCCAGCCAAGAGTCCCATGTTTTATGGAATGATTTAGGAGAATCATGCATTTCTGAGGTGAGTCTATCCATCTCTCTATGTTTTCGTGCATTTTTGGTTATTATAGCTAAACAGGGAATATATTGTGTATCCCAGTGTTCCCCAAACCAGTCCTCATGGACCACCAACAGTCCAGGTTTTGTCAGTATCTCCATTGGAATAAAACAGGGAAATACATAAATCCTGGACTGTTGGTGGTCCATAAGGGCTGGTTGGGGAACACTGGTATAGCCCATTCTACCCCTATGACTCTGTGAGTTGATAGCTCTATTCTCTGCTCTTATAAATTGTTGGTATTGATGGAATGGGTGTATTGATCGGGTGAGGGGGGGTGATAATGGTGTGAAGGAGGGGTGGTATTGATGGTATGAGGGGGGGGGTTTATTGATGGAGTGGGGGTATTGATGGAGTGAGGGGGTGTGATAATGTTGTATGGTAGGGGGGTTGATGGTAAGGGATTAAATACCTTTTTTTTCGCTCCCTGGTGGTCCGGTGGCCATAATATCTGTGGTTACCCACAGCAACGCTCTGATTGGCCAGATCTTGCAAGACACATGGACTGCGATTGGTGCTCTCCGGCTGGGTAGACTGGAGGGGCCTCGCACCCAGCAGCATACAGAGCAGGCTGTCGGGCCCCCTCCGTCACTCTCACTGACCGAGGACGCAACACAGTCTGCCCTAAGGCTATTTAGGCTGCCGTGAGGCCCCAGGCAGCACAAGGTCTTAGGGGGCTGCCTAAATTACCTAATAATATCATGTCCTGATGAAAGTTTTAATGTGAACTGAAACGTTGACCTTCTGTGGGATCTTTAATAAAGAAAATCTTTTTTTTCACAAGAACTAGAGTGCTGGCTACCTTTATCTTTTTGGTGTATGCAGTGCAGTCGAGCTATAAGACTGGGAAGCTGGAGTGCTAAGCTATATACACATATATATACACATACACATTACATGGCACAAGGACTTATGGGGCTGGTAAACATTTTTTTTTCCAGGGCTGCTTTGAATTTCCAGTCTGGCCCTGCCGTTATTGGGCCTAAATCTATTTCCCAAGCAGAGATTTATGGCAGTGCTATTTGAGAGGAATGTGTTGCTAATTGTGTATAAGTGTCGGATACTTGTCCTTTTCTTGTTTGAGAAAGTGCATACCTTCTCAAAGAGTGTCATAGGTGCTGTACCCACCAGCCTGTCGAACCTGTAGATGCAAAGCTTTTGAGTTGTAGGTATCTGAAAAAGTCAAACATCTTAAGGAAAGTATGATCTGGTATGTCTGTATATTCCAGAATCCTATTGTTTAACCCCTTAAGGACACAACTTCTGGAGTAAAAGGGAATCATGACGGAATATTTCCGTCATGTGTCCTTAAGGGGTTAAATATAAATGTCCTAGCCATGTAATGTTTCTGTAATGGGCAAATAAATATAATTAATATAAGAGTAGATGGGAAAAGAAAAGAGGTCAAATTTCTCCTTCAGTCTATCCCACAAAACATTGTTAGTGTATGAGTAGGTGATAGTTGGATCAGTTGGGGAGGCTAAGGGGTGATGTATTTTCAAAAGCCAAATATATAAGGAAGGGTAATCCCACTGAATATCTGGTGCTCTAAATCAACCCACCGTTTCTTCCCTGGTGTTATATGCCAGTGTTGTATTTGAGTCAAATGAGTAGAATACAAGCAGTGTATGAGGTTGGGAAGTCCTAGTCCTCCCGATCTCTCTGGTACATATACAGCGTGTTCCTATGAATTCTGGGTCTTTGTCTGTTTCATATAAATGAATAAAAAGCAAAGTCTCTGGTGGACGAGTGTTGAGATCTCCAAATATCAATAAAGTCAAGGTGGCTAGGAATTGGGAGACTAATATATCACCTCGTAATAGCCGTGGCGTCCCCGGTCCAAAGAACTCCAGTCAAGAGCAGGATAATGTCATCGCCAAGAACAGTGTGAGTTGCTGGTAGAGAACCTAAGTGGGTGGACATTGTGTTCTAGAATTAATGGTCTGGGATAGTGGGTGCATATATAGAGCAAAATGCACATTTGATTACTCCTACGTTGCCAATTATTGTGACATATCTACCCTTAGAGTCCGCGATCATTGAGATGTTATTTAAGCGACAAAATCTTTTCAGAAGGATAGCTACTCCCTTTGATTTTGTGTCAGGTGAATTTTCAAACAAGCTGTGGCCGAGGCATTGGACCAGAGCAGGAAGATCGAAGTAGATCAATAGCTGGGAGACCAAGTTGCTCATAAATCCGCATCAGTGACTCTGTATAAGGTAAAAGATTGATTCTCACGATGAACCGATAATTTGAACGGGTGTCCCCATGAGAAACGCAGTCTTTGCTGAGTTATCATTTGGATCAGTGGGCACTGGGCACATTTGAGTAGGGTGTTCGGTGCCAGGTCATTAAAAAACTGGACTGGGTGCCCAAATACTTGAATTGGGGAGTCTCTTGCTGCTCTCATCAGAGCCTTCTTCACATGAAAATAATGAGACCAGACAATGGTTGTGTGGAAGAAATAGAGGGATTGTGAAGAGCCCTATGATCTCTATCCATTAAAAGTTCCACAGCTGGAGCATCAGGCAGAAAGGCTGCAAAAAGTTTCTCTCACCTTGGATGAAAAGATCTCTGTCGACACAGACTGTGGAGACACGGATATTATTTGATCTTGTCTTCAATGTCTCGTGCACTTCGTGTGAGGTCTGCTCTTTAATAGATGGGAGGTGTTTGGTGAATTCTGCCGCGATACTTAGTCGTATGTATTGCAACAAGTTTTCAAGATCTTTTCTAGTGAGTGGTGAAGCTTTGTGGCTATGGCTGGAGTCACTCATGTCTAAGTCTGATCCTAACTCCATGATCCCATCAGCACGTGGTGGGTATTTATTAATCTGGCTCTGGAAAATTGGTGCAACCTCGGAACCATGTTCCAATTTTCGGTCCCCTCCCATGGTGCGGCTTAGGGGGTCTTCTGCACAGGTTGCAGGTGTTTTGGGTAGGTTTAGCTTTGCTTCTGCTGCTTAATACTTACGAGTAATGCATAGGTGTAACATATCACCTGTGTCCACCTAGAGAAAACCTAAGCTTGCACCAAAGAAAGTAGTTGTTTCTCTAAGTCACAGAACAAATGTAATGTTTTGGCGTTGAAACAGTGTAATTGCTTGCTTTTGGTACTTGTCTGCAGACAGTAAATACTCCTGCTTAACACCTGGAGAGAACCTTCATTTCACAGCCAAAAATACACCACTTTCAGCCAATATAGTAACCTATCTATTACAGAAACAAAACACTTTGACTCAAGTGAAAATAATTTTCACAGCATTATGAGCTCTTTCTCACAAGCTGTGTCCTTTGTCACCTTTTACAGTGATAAAAAATACTGCTGAAAAAAAATTAAAATGAAAAATAAAAAGGGGAAAGGAATTTACATATATGCTCTGTATAACACTTGAAATTGCATGACTATTTCTTTCAATCTCTGCTTAAAAGCTAAAGTTATCATCATTCGTCACTATGCTGCCAAAGATATAAATCCAGTGCTTGGTCTCAATTTCCAGCCAATTGTTTTCCACTATAAATGTTGGTGCTGAGGGTAACTAGATAAGGATCTGCTTTGAAAAGAGCAATGATTATTATACTAGAAGGAAGCTGTTGGTGCTGGGCCCCAATGATAGATTTATGACCATATCCTGGGGCTGCTGTGGCATGATGGAAGTAGCAGGTGCTGCAAACCACAAAGTCAATTTCTGTACCCTGTTCCTATGCACAGGTGCCAGAGCAGCTGGTGGTTTGTCGGCAATATTCTGACAAAATGTATCTGGAGTAAAAAGTTTGGGTATTTGGGTGCTATTTTCACTGTGAGACTGTTAGGTGTCAGGCCTTGGCTCTCTAACTATTATTGGACTACAGTTTTGCATAACTCGTGTGCAGACAGTGGCAGAGAATTATGAGAGAAATGCAGTATAGCAGCTAATGGTGCGAGAGACTAGACAAGACGTGTACATTGTATGTTTAGTTTTGAAAGTGAAAGATGTAAATTGGATAAATCTGGAAAATAATTCTCCTACTCTTCCACTTGGATAAAGTGGAGCATGTATGGCATGGTGTTGTGCTGATTAAAAAATATCATGCAATATAGAAGATACTTAAGGTGGCAGTTAAACAAATTCAGCTTAATAGAATGGTTTTGGTGTATAGAACATGCCCATGCAGTCTCACCGCTCAATTATCTGTCATTTAGGAGTTAAATCACTTTGTTTATGCAGCCCTAGCCACACCTCCTTGCAAGTGACTTACACAGCCTTCCTAAACACTTCCTGTAAAAAGTAATCTAATGTTTTTACTTCCTTTACTGTACATTCTGTTCAATTTAGAATGTCTTATCTCCTGCTCTGTTGTTGACCTGTTAGAGTCTGCAGGAGCCCCCTGTATGTGATTAAAGTTCAATTTACAGAGCAGGAGATAAAAACTTTTAATGTAAGGTAACGTGGTTGAAAATTAAAACATTATTTTCATGCAGGCTGTAGCAGTCACAGTCAGGGGAGGTGTGGCTAGGCTGCATAAACAGAAACAAAAGTAATTTAACACCTGCTGTAAATGGTAGAGAACTGAACAGTGAAACTACATGGGGCATGATCTACTCACTATATCTGCTTTATTAAGCTAAAGTTGTTGTGATGCATAGTATTCCTTTAAATCTGAAGTGTATATCAGGCAACGGTTCTAGTGGTATGACATTAAACCATGAGACTTCTATATTTTTGCCTAGGAAGTTAGAATCGGGTCTGGGTTAAGCCTAGGGTTAGGATAGGGTTATGCAGGTGAGGGTGTATCATGTTTACCTATAGTAAGATGAAATAGCAAAACTTCAACAGGCCAAGTGGTTAGAAACAATCTGAGGTCAAGCAGTACAGTACAGAGTTATGAAGAAATAAGAGAATAAGTCAGGTTAGGATTACTTAAATGCATGAACACCAAACACAAGTGAGGTCATACGAGGAAACAAGATCAGAAATACTATCAACACACTGTAGATCATAAAACCACAACAGGACAGTACAATGCAAATGTATTCTGCTTTCACAGCCCTCATATCAGCTGGGATTTGGTCATGATTTGATTATGCCAATATACCTTATTGCCCATGGGCTTTAGATTATAGGATTTGGCTACAAGAAAGTGTGAGAGCAACCAACATTAGAAGAGCACCATAACCACATGTAAGGAGTTAAACTGTTTTCTAATAATGTGAAATCTTACATGGGATCTGCCTCCTCACAGCCCATAGTGAGAGCCAGAAGCTGCTGCAGTGCAGGTCCATATTATTGGTTTAGAACATCATCTGATTTATCTTAGTCAATGAACAAAGACCTGCTCAACTTGCAGCTTTGATTAAGCAAGAGGCAAGCAAATAGGCTGGCACTTTGACCGTTAAGTGGTCATGGGCCTAAGATTATCATGCGGAACTAGAGGAACACTAGTGGTGTGATGGTTCATTGGCTTAGGAGGATAAGGTTACAAGAGGAATTAACTTATGAAAGCAACTTATTGATAGAGCTATAGAGGGACCAATGATTTCTGATGGCAATGCTGCAGTGGATACTTATCTGATTAAGTAAAGACCAGATCCCTGGTAATGCTAATTATTATTTGTTATTATTATTATTATATAAGACTATAGTTATATTGAAGATATATTGTAGAGGTTGGATTTTGAACATTAGATTCCAGAGGACAAAAATTTACCAGCTGAGAGGGGATATCAAGTTGCTAAATGGAAGAGAATTTGGCTGATTATTGTGTGTGAGCTAATTATTGTGTGTGAACTTTAACTTTATTGTGTGTGATATTAACTGATAGTGTGACCTATGTATGAGTGTGTGGAAAGATGGTGAATGCCATTATTCCTATGGTATGGATTGCCATTAGACCTATGGTAATGTTTACCACTGATTATATGTACTGTTGGTTAACATGAATTCAAATGAAAAAAAAAATAATCATATGACATCATATTTTATTTGTCAAAAAAACAGGTATTCTTTGGAGTTCTTCATTTTGGATCACTCTGGTCATCCCGGCATAACTAAAGAGCAGGGAAGAACACTGTATACCTTCTATCAATGTCTTGCTAAGCTCTAAATTACTTTAACATTTAGATTAAAATAAAAGTCCTACATGTGTCTTGATATAGCACTATATAACCAATAAAATAAAATACAATAAATAGGCTGTCTTTTTTTTCTTTCATAGACATCTAAAGACTTGAGTACCCAGTGAATATTGCTATGCCATCTTCCTTGAACCCTTTTTGCTACATTTTCGACCTGTAATGGGCTTGGTTACAATTAACCGTTTAAAAAGGGCAGAGCACACGTAATACTTTAAGAGACAAATAATTAGCTGTAACCCTCAACAATTCTACAAAAGGTATGGGGGTGCGGTATGTAGTGTACACTTTCATATAAAAAATGAAAACGTTAGCTTTTAGTTACATTAAAAAAAAATGTTTTCAAAACATAGGATTCCAAGATAATGGCATTGACTATTATATTACTTCAGTAAAGCCAGGTGCATGTTTATCTAGTAAACTAAGAAACTAGGTTTTATATTACCCCCGGTAAACACTTCAATCAGTGAATTACAAATGAACAACGATAGTGTGTGCATTTATATTTTAAAGGTGTTAATATTGTACATGTACAGTACTTAATGGCTTATTTAATGCCTGTTACAATATAAAAATATATAGATGTACTTTTATGGCTGTTTGAAAAGCAGTTGTTTTTTTATATTGTATGTTTTATCTCTATACTTAGTTATCATTCTTCCCTGTGAAAATTAGTTTAGCTGTTTTGTTTTTTTTATATTCAAACTTTATTCCAATCTTTTGTTTTATGCCCTGTCGTTGTTTCTCATTCTTACTGTTACAATTTATGGGCATCCTCTGTAAAATGAACAGAAAAATACTTTAAGTTCACTTTTTTTATTACAGGAAAGGTGAAAGTTGTTCAGGGATGAAGTCGGGAGAAGATGAAAGTGTCACTTTTTACATTTACGGATTGGCTCTTTATGAGCCTTGATATGTTAATGTATCCTACGGGGCCATTGCGAATGAATGCTTTGCACAGGTGGCCCTAAGCAATTTATAGAAACGATAATTGAATGAGAAAAAGAAAAGAAGGAAGATTTCGAAACACATGGAACACAGCTGGTCCCAAGCATTTTAAGAGCAGACATAACTTTTACATGACAGAGATGATTTCTATGTCAAAGAAAGAGCTTCACGGTCTACGTTCTAGTGCTTCCCACTCCAACTGTACAGTGTGTTCTAGAACATGCTTTTATTACCACACTGTCAGCATCCATAATGATCTTTTTTTTGCTAACATAATTCATTCATCACTTGCATTGTCTTCAGAGAACATCTGCGGAAGACTTTAACATCAAACCCCCAAATAAGCCCAATAAGGTTTTATTTCCCAGCAGTCAATCAGTATTCAATACAGCCATAGCTTAGCTTGTTTTATCATAATAGAATCATCATTCAGAAGTATTATATTCAGAAGTATTATGAATAATGTATACAGATACTAAACTAACAGGGAAAAACTATGAAAAAATTCAAGAATGGGTTCCAGTGAAAGGAATATGAGTTTTTATTGGAATTTTTACTATCTACCGTTTAATCTTCAATGTAAATTTCACCACAAGTTAAATGAAGCAGTGATTATTATGGAAATATCATATGCAGTTTTATGGGCAGTCCAGTCCTTATCAAAGGGCAAACAGAGTCCTACTCTGGTCCTTGGAGGGCCTCATGGCTTAACTTTTCTTTGAAAACGCTATTTTTCCCCATTGTGAATTGATGCTAGGGTTTGGGAATTGCTAATCTAGACTGTTAAAAACTGTCATGAACTTTTAGAAAGAATTGGTATGAACCTCAAACCTG